GGGACGCGCCCACCCACCAGGAAAGCGGCCTACCAGCAGGTCCTCGCCAGCGCTGAAACACAGCCTGTGTCTGGGGGATGCTGCTCCCCGGGCAGCACTGCCGCTTGCACCCGCTGCCCAGCGCGCCAGAGAGACGTTCACAAGACTCATCGGGCTGTGCCGCAGCACAGCGCAGAGCAGGTCGCAGCCGAAGGAACAGGCTGGACCAGATCTGGGAAGTGCAGGCATGGGAGCGGCATGGCTGGCAGGGCGAGGGCTGAGCGGTGACACAGCACTGTCTGAATGACAGGCCTTCCTGCCGGGGGAAGATGCTTGTTCATCTGAGCAGATGCCTCTCACACCCTGGCTGGAGGCTGTGCACCTCCTGCAGCCACTTGCCCAGATGCTGGAGAGCTCTCAATAGCCAAGGGATGCAACTGGGGCATTTCCCAGAGCAGCCTCTAGGGGGCAGCTGTGTCACCGCACACGAACACACGCAGGGTGGAGGTGGGGGGGCCTCTTCTAGGCACTGGAAACAAGAAACAGTCAATCAGAATCCAGCTTGTCACATGTGATAAGAGGTTCCCAGCCACAGAGCTTTAGCCGGCAGTGAGCTTTGGACTCTGCTTGCAGGGACCAGGAAAGGCTGAGAAGGCCTTACGCTAGCCGTGCTTTCAGGAAAGAGGCATTCGACATCTCAAAGGCCCACTGAGCAGCTGCGCATAAGCAGGAATTGCAGCTGCTGAGGCTCTCAGCCACTGTTATGGACTGCATAGTCCACTGCAACGAAAGCAGACCCACTGCTCACCTGGGCCCTGTCTCAAGTCACACCTAGAGGCTGCCAAGAACTCTCTTGGGGCACGCCTTTGCTAAATCAGATCAGGTAAGGACAAATAGAAGGGTAAGCCAAAGCTCAGCTGCACAGAAAGCTCTGGCCCTTGGCAGTGATCCCTCTCATTTTTCCATCTGTGTGTGGAATAAGTTTTGTTATGTGCACTGAGGCATGTGTGGGTGTGCATCACCAGTAGAAACATGCTGCTGTCTGTGGGCACTGTGCTAGTTAGCTGGGCAGCATTTGACTCTCTCCTGGGGTGACTCTCAATATCTGCATGTCCACCTTCCCCCACCTACTCTCCAAAGTTTCCCCAGCCCACCTTAGAGCCCTGCACACAGCAGCCATCCTTGGCAAAGGATGTGGAATTCCCTTCACAACTCCCCATTGTTGCTTGTTTGGGGCCAGCAGTTACCCTGGAGGCCACCCCCCAGGTTCAGTACATGGGCCCAGCCATCTTACCCCAGGACCCAGCATGGCGAGGGGAAATCACGCTTGAGAAATGAGCTGCTGCACTAACCACAAGGCCAGCTCAAAGCATATTCCCTTTTCTCACCCATGGTAAGCTCTGTTTCCTGGACAATTAACGTGAGAAACGATGGTACAACGTGAACATCTGTTTGCAGGGAAAAAGAGGATGTGTACAGAAGTCTGTAGGCTTTGCACAAGAGCCCCTGGGACGGGGTTTGGACAGCATGAGAAACGTGCCCCAAGCTTATGACAGACAAAACTGGATGGTGAGAGAGGCTGGTAAGGGAAGCGGCAGCCTTTCACCTACAGATCACTGGTTTAATCTTGACCAGTACTGACCAAACTGGCTTGCTCTTCAAGGGGTATGTTTGGAGCAATAAGTGACCTCAGGCCAGTTCTTAGTGGACAAGCACTACCACCACAAACATGTAAAATTAATACCTTAGCTGACATTTCAGCCAAGAGGCCAAGCCCTGAACGCACATGGCTGCTTAACTTTCTTTACAGCTAAGATGGTCCCTGCCTCACCACAGTTGTGGCATGTTGGCAGGGTTTTGTGGGTGCACTCTAGCTCTTCCAGAGCCAGGGAAAGCCGATAGCCAGGACTGCCAAGCTTTTCCATCGGTGTTAAATTCACTCACATTGCAAACCTGTCCCACCCCATTATACAATTTAGCAAGATGAGCCAATAAGTAGTGGAAATATGAAAAAAATGCATTAGCATTGAGCAAGATTCAAAACAGAGCAGTCACATTAGCTACATAAAAAAAGGGCGCAAGCACCCACGGAGCGCAGCAAGGAGAACTGTTAAAGCTACCAGAGCTCTTTTGGGTTTTGAGCTGTGGAATTTTCTGGGGTTCACTGTTTGGATGCAGGAGGCCTAGCCCCTAGTGAACCATTCCTAACATACTGGTTCCTTTCATAGAGCTACTGTCATGGTTAGGATGTAAAAATCAAGCCAAGTTATTGAGTCACTAGTTCTTTCCCTGCATTACTGGCTTCCAACTGATCTGACCTTCCTTATTAAATAAAAGGTTTTAATTATATTTTTCAGAACCTAGACACACCTACTGAAATGATATCAACAATAAGTCCTGCTGCATGCTTCATTTCTTTCTTGTCAGCCAAGACTGGGCGCAAAGTACACAGTTCTCAATAACACAGCTCTCACATAAAGCTGGGTGCTGAGCCCTTTTTGCAGGTACCCAGTACCTCCCAAGAGCAGGCCCTTAACATATGAATGCTAGCACGCACATCAAGCCTTGTCTCAAGCCCCTTAAACTGCCACTATGCGTCCAGATCTCACAGCTACGCTGCCCTCTCCAAGTCATCTTCCGCAGTTATTGCATGGACTCTGCCGCATCTCCAATAAAGACTATGCCTGCTGAGAATTCAGCACTGTCAGGAGTTGAGCTGGACGGAGGATCCTCCCAACTCTGAATTCAATCTCTCCCCCCCCCAAAGGTTAACAAGCGCCTGACTCTCTCAGACTCCTGCCTGTAGATTAAACTGCAAGGGCCGAGTGCTACAGCCGCCAGACCCATCCTGGTGAAAATGCAATGTTCCAGGAGCTGAATTAGATGGCGTCTGTCAAGCCCTTAGGCCACATTTTGCATTGAAGATGGTGCGAACCATGACAGATTGCAAGCCACCACGGGGCCTGCACCCTGCAAGGCAATGTTACGTTTTAACTTCTGAGGGGATGCAGGAGAGAGAGCAGCACCATTCCTTGGCTCTTAATTATAGTCTTGTGACATAGTTAATGGGCTGTCAGGGATTCCATTATAAACCTTGATTTTGCTGGAGGTAGACAGATTAAGTTTAGGCTCTCTAGTACCCAAAATAGCTACTCACCAGAAGCTTTAAGTATAAGCTAGTCTCACTAGTACAGAAAGAACAATGTCTGAGTCCCCTTTGAGTATAGTTCAGTGCCCGTACCCACCTTCCAACAACCCTCCAAAATAAACAGTTGGCTTTTTCCTTAAGAGACAATGTATAAGAAGAGCCGTGCTTGCGAGCAGCTCTTCACCATGGCCTTGCCCAGCTAATGAGTGTGTCAGGTAACAGAAGCATGCACTGTGTCTCATAATGGAGAAATGATTAGGTAACCAGGAGGCAGATTCTTATGATTAAGGAACAAAGTCACGGTGCCTTTGCATCAGTCCCAGTGTCCCCTTAAGCCAGGGGTTCTCAAACTTTGTGATACAGCAACCCCCCTCTAAGTTGCTGCAACCCCTTGGGGGGTCAGGACCCACAGTCTGAGAAACACAGCTTTAAGCTGAACTGATAAACCACCAAGCTCAACTGGAGCAAAGCACAATGAAAAACTTGGGACATCGGCCATTGAGCATCATGTCCCTGTACAATTCCTTTCCTCACTAAAGTCACCCTATTTTTAAGAAAAACCAGGGCTGCAGCTCAGCAACAAATATAAACAGCTTCTTTATCATTATGGCTGCAGTTTTCCTGGGTAGAGCATTCTCCCACGACCCATTCCAAAATCCTCACCATTGCTGTAGGCGTAAGGGGATTCGGATGCTCCGTCTTGAAGGCTCTCCAGGATTTCTCCTTTTCCAACATCACTGTCTCCTACCAACAGGAACTTGAGCAGATAATCATAGCTCTTCACAGGGCTTCCCTGGGTTCCCATTCTGCCTCTCATTAGTGAAGAGGCGCAATCCGCATACTAAACATGTAGCCAGACTGAAAGGATCACTAACGCCAGCTTCCTTGCTTTTAGAGAGGCTCTTACCAGCAGAGTTTTTGTCCCCCCTTCTAAGGGGGGCAGGGAGGGTACGGAAGAATGAGTCAACCTCAGAATGAGCCTTCCATCCTTTCCACCTTATACCTGCTCTTCGGATACTGGCAGCCTGGAAGAAAAGAGGAGGAGGATCCTTGTTTCTTCGCTCGCACTTCGCGCTTTTCCAATATCCAGACATAAATTATGGTTCAATTCTCAGAGCCCCGCACTGCTAAGGGAGAATGCCAGCGGCGAGCGGACCCGGGGCAGGGCTCTACCTGCTGCGAAGGGACAGACCCGCCA